ACACACGCGCACACACACACACACACACGCACACACACACACACACACACACACACACACAGAGGAGTCCCTCCCCGCCATCTCTGGCCAATCCCCAGCAATTACAGACCCTCTTTCAGATTAAGCAGATTACACTTCAGTGTCTGTTAGAGTCATCATTAGCTTAATGAAAAGTCAATAGCAGTCAGAAAAGGTGCCACTGCATTGAAAAGGGTTTAGGGCCGGTTATCCCTGTTATCCCCACCTTACCCCCCTTACATATGTGATAAAGATGTCACATAACAAACATGAAAAATGGCAGGAATTCCACAAAATGACTGTTATCCCTGTTATCCCCACCTTACCCCCCTTACATATGTGATAAAGATGTCACATAACAAAAAAAAAGCCAAGATGTAATACAATTTTACTTTATAAGAATGTTCCCTATTTAATTCTAGTATTATTATTCACATTATTCTAAATTAAAATGTTTGTTTTCTTGAGCTTTCCTAAAATCTAATTACTTCCACCATCCCTAAAATGATTTTCCTTCTCTAATAATATGAACAAGGCCATGTGAGTGGGGAAAAACAACATTAACCAACATTATCATCCTGTAGAAAAGATAAATCACTTTTAATATTGTTTAATATCTCAACTGTTTCTGTACACTCTTTAAAAAAAAAAAATCGATCACAAATCAAAAAAAAGTCATTTTCAGTGTAACAAGGTTCTTTAGATTATTCATCATCATGTATGTTCATCATACTAAGGGGGGAAAAGTTGCTTTTCTTTTTTTTTTGGAAAGCCCAAGATATTATAATATTACAGAATATTGTGATATATTACATAAATAATTACATTTAAAATAATTTAGAATTTTAGTGCAAACTAAATGTCATTTTTTCAGATGCTTAATTAAATGAAGAGTTTAAGAAGCAGGACTTACTGTAAGTACATTATTATACGTAATTTCATAATTTATTCTATTGTATTTTAAATATGGTTAACATACTGTTGAATGTACTGACAAGCATATATGATAAACTAAAATAGTAAAATATAATTATATAATGTCATTTCAACTGACACTTGCATGTTTTTATATAAATATATTCATAATTACACATTTTTAAAGATGAAGCTGCACTTTAGTCCATTCAAAATACATTAACATGTAAAAATAAATTAGTGTACTAAAAATTTGTGTAAAAAGTGGCTTTTTATTTAATTAATATATAGCCTTCATGCCCAGTTTATTAAAACAAATATTATAATAACATTATTTCAAGCCAAATATATACGAGTTTCACTCTTAAATGTGTCTCATTACATAAGTTAAATTAATTGCAAATGCCATTTTAAGCTCTTGCAGACAGTATGAACTGTCATGTGAAGCTTTAGCATGTAATAGGAACAATTCCAGAGGGACGGATCTACTCACCGGCCTGGTTGGTGGTGACATTGAGCGAGACGTACTGGCGTAAAGGGGCGGTTAGTTCCGACACCCCGTTCACAGCCTCCACCTCAAAGCTGTAGTTGGTGTGAGCCAGGAGATCCATGACCATGACGGAGGTGTTTTTCAGAGCCGTCCGCTGAGGCAGATATCGCACATGACTTCCACACGGTTCGTACTGGCCTGCATCTGTGCTGATCTTACTGCACACAATGTTGTATCGAACATCTTTCCGACCGCCTGTCTCCTCCGGGGCGCTCCACTCCAAGAAGACGCTGGTCTCATTCACGTTGGAAATAGCGCTACGTGGGGCTGAAGGTGCCTCTGCAAGATAATATGGTATCATGACCAAATTATAAATATTATACCAAAAATACGGCATAACAGTACACATAAAGCGATAGTTCAGAAGTTCAGCCAAAAATTTTTATTTGCAGGCCATTCAAGATGCAGGTGACTTTTTATCTTCAGTAGAACAGTGAAGACAATTTTTAGCTGTAACCGTGGTCCTTGGTGATTCAGAAAATGCAAGTCAATGGGTACCAGCACTTTGAGAGGCAAAAAAACAAAACAAAAAAACATAAATTAATACCAGTGGCTCCTGATGATATATTGAGGTCTTATACATCAAAATGATTGGTCTGCAATATTATTTACAACAATATTGCCAGCAATCCATAGCCTCAGTATAGCCTGAGTTTTGATTGAGTAACTTGTAGTTTCTTGCACAGACTCATTGTTTCGCTTCATAAGATCTCAATATATCGTTAGGAGCCACAGGTATTATTTTTGTCTTGCCTGTAAATGGTTGTTTTTGTTTTGTTTTTACTCTCAAAGTGACGGTACCCATTGACTTGCATTTTATGAATCACCAAGGACCACGGTTTCAGCTAAAATTGCCCTCTACTGGTGCCTCTCAAAGTGTCGGTACCCATTGACTTGCATTTTATGAATCAGCAAAGACCACGGTTACAGCTAAAAATCGTCTTCACTGTTCTACTGAAGATAAAAAAAAGTCACCTACATCTTGGATGGCCTGCAAATGTTAATTTTTAATTAAAACAGGGTATTAATTTTGTCATGCCTGTAAAAGTTTTTTTTTTTTTTTTTTTGACTCTCAAAGTGACGGTACCCATTGACTTGCATTTTATGAATCACCAAGGACCATGGTTTCAGCTAAAATCGCCTTTACTGGTGCCTCTCAAAGTGCCGGTACCCATTGACATGCATTTTATGAATCACCAAGGACCACGGTTACAGCTAAAAATCGTCTTCACTGTTCTACTGAAGATAAAAAAAGTCACCTACATCTTGGATGGCCTGCAAATTTAAATTTTTTATTAAAACAGGGTATTCATTTTGTCTTGCCTGCAAATGTTTTTTGTTTTTTTTTGACTCTCAAAGTGACGGTACCCATTGACTTGCATTTTATGCATCACCAAGGACCACAGTTTCAGCTAATATCGCCTGTACTGGTTCTACAGAAGAAAAAAAGTCTCCTACCTCTTGGACAGCCTGAGGGTGAGTAAATTAACAGCAAATTTTCATTTCTGGGTGAACTATCCCTTTAATGGAAGTACTGTAGCTCTTACTTGTGCAGGCCATGTTGGCAGGGTCTGATTCGGTCCGGTAGTATCCCTGCTCACACTGACAGGAGGTGGAGGCCTCCACTTTGGTGAAACTTCTGGGAGGACATTTACTGCAGCTTTTGGTCTGAAGAGCTGATCGGTAAAATCCCGGCTTGCACACTGCAGAGATATCAAGCACAAAAGGGAAGTGATTACATTACTAATGCATTACTAACTGTAGCTTAACCGATTTTCGTCAATATGCTTTCATTGTCTGTGAAAGAGCAGCCTGAACATTTCGCTAAACTTCCTCATATGGGTTCCCAATCACATGAGGGTAAGTAAACAATAACATGAGTTGTATTTTTTAGGTGAACTATTCCTTTAAAAACAATTGTGTATAAATCTTCACATTCACTCAAAAACCACACTCATCCAACCTCCTACACAACAACATGCCCACAAAGCATGAAAACCACAATTCACAATGTTGCACCCACAAGCGGGACAAATGGATTCAGTATATTTGGTTTTTGCAACTACTTAAATGCTTCTCCATTCAGGACAGCTGCTTGGGCACAGCAGACATCCTGTCAGCGCAAAATACATTTAGATAATATATTGCCATTGAGAGAAGGAGAGAGATAGATTATCAATGGTCTCGGCAGTCCAAAGTGCACACAAAGACATTAATTAAAGCCTCCCTGGTGTGCATTAAGAGGCAGACAGCAGAGGTGCGCTGTGAATTCAACCCAACTCTGAGCCACAGCGAGAACAAGCCGAGCTGAAAGAGGCAGCTAATACAGAATAATATGATGTATAATATCATTCAGTATTTAACTATTATTCATGTGCCATATTCAGCTCTCCTGTAGTATTTTATGCGTTTCCCTGAAGTTCACTTCAATGCACCAAAAAAGATTGTAGTTTTGCTACTTTGCCTTAAAATTCAACATGAAATCAAAAGTAAGCCTATTTACTTTTTAGTACGCATTCAGTCTTATTGTAAAATGATTTATCACTTCATTCCAGTGAAAACTGTTTAGCTTCATAGTTTTTCAATGAAAAATGTAATAGCCTGCCCTGCTTCTTTCCTTTTCGGTTAACATCTCTACCAAGCTCCATTCTGAAACATAACACTATGTCCACATCCACATTAATCCAGATGCATTTCAAAAAGACACACTGAGACATCTGAAAAAAAAAAAAAAAAAATCACCTTATTGCACATGCATAAAATGTTATAGACTCTCACTGAGATGAAACTGAGAGAAAGTTCTCAAGCTATTCTTCTGGCACAATAATTTTATTAGCAAAATATCTCATCACTCACTGGTCCCAGTCACACTCAAAAAAAAA